GAGTTGGAGGTTGCTGTGAGCTGTGATACCATAGCACTCTACCCAGGGGGATAGCTTGAGGCTCTGTCTCAAAAAAAAAAAAAAAAAAAAGATTCTTGGAGAGAGTACAGGAGAAACACTTGAAGAAATTGGCCTAGGAGAATACTTTATGAGGAGGACCCCTGCAGGGCAACTTAAGCAATACCAAAAATACATTACTGGGATCTGATCAAACTAAAAAGCTTCTGCCCAGCCAAGAACACAGTAAGTAAAGCAAGCAGACAGTCCTCAAAATGGGACAGGATATTTGCAGGTTATGCTTCTGACAAAAGTTTGATAACCAGAATCCACAGAGAACTCAAACTTCTTAACAAAAAAAGAACAAATAATCCCATTTCATTGTGGGCAAGGGACTTAAACAAAAGCTTCCCTGAAGAAGACAGGCACATGGCCTACAGACACATGAAAAAATGCTCATCATATTTAATCATCAGAGAAATGCAAATCAAAACCACTTTGATCATAACCACCTCTACTAGGTGTATATCCAAAAGACCAAAAATCACTTGATAATAAAGATATTTGCACCAGATTGTTCACTGCAGCTCAATTCATAATAGCAAGTCATGGAAGAAGCCCAAGTGCCCAATGACCCATGAATGGATTAATAAATTGTGGTATAGGTATACCATGGAATATCATGCTGCCTTAAAAAAGATAGAGACTTTACCTCTTTTATGTTTACATGGATGGAGCTGGAACATATCCTACTTAGTAAAGTATCTCAAGAATGGAAGAAAAAATATCCAGTGTACTCAGTACTATTATGAAACCAATTTATAATCACTCACGCTTTCATATGAAGAATAGATCACAACTATGGCCCAAGATGAAGGGGGGGAAGGGAGAGAAGAGGGGAGGTCAGATTGAATGGTGAGATCACACCTACGGTGCATAATGCAAGGGTATATGTCAGATCTATTAGTATAGAGTATAAATGTCTTAACACAATAATTAAGTAAACAAGATAAGGTATATATGAACCAGTGTGATGTAAGCGTTCCTAATTCTATATGAAGTCAGCACATTGTGCCACATAAATGCGTTAATGTATACATGATCTCCGTGTTTACAATTTAATAAAAAAAATAACCTTGAAGCAGCTTCACAAAAGTAGACATAAAATTAGCAAATAAATACATAAAATGTCTTAACTTCCTTATCAGGGAAATACAAATTCAAACCACAAGGAGATATCAGGACATAATTACCCATGTGATAAAAGAAAAAGGCTGAAATTAGGCTGGGTGGGGTGGCCCACACCTGTAATCCTAGCACTCTGGGAAGCCAAGGTGGGAGGATCAATCACTCTAGATCAGGAGTTGAAGATCAACCTGAGCAAGAGCCAGACTCCATCTCTACTAAAAATAGAGGAATTAGGGTGGTGCCTGTGGCTCAGTGAGTTGGGCACCGGCCACATATACCAAGAGTGGCAGGTTCGAACCCGGCCCTGGTCAAACTGCAACAAAAAATAACCGGGAGTTGTGGTGGGCGCCTGCAGTCCCAGCCTCTTGGGAGGCTGAGGCAAGAGAATCGCCTAAGCCCAATAGTTGGAGGTTGCTGTAAGCTGTAACACCACAGCACTCTACTGAGGGTGACAAAGTGAGACTCTGTCTCTAAAAAAAAGAGGAATTAGCTGAGTAAGTGTTGTGGTGGGTACCTTGTAGTCCTAGTTACTGGGGAGGCTGAGGCAGGAGCATCGCTTGAACCCAGGAGTTTGAGGTTGTTGTAAGATAGGCTAATGCCATGGCACTCTAGCCTGGGGCAACAAAGTGAGACTCTCTGGGTAGGGGAGACCCAAACCCCTGAATTAGCAAGTGTTGATGAGGATGTGGAGCAAGGGACCTCGTATCATACACTCCTGTCGGCAGTATAAATTGATACCACCACTTTGGAAGAATGTTTGACAATATCTATGGAAGGTGAATATTTCCTATATCCCAGCAATTCTACTCCTAAGTATTTACCCTCAGAAATCTGTTTAACAAAACACATAATAAAAGGTTTGCAGTAGCACTAATAGTTTAAAGCTGGAAACTACTCAATAACCACCAACAGAAGAATGGATTAAATAATGGTCATATAGAATACCCTGGAGAAATAAAAAAATGCTCGTGTAACAATATGGATGAACCTTACAAAGCCAGGGAGCAAAAAAGCCAGATACAAATGAACATATACATGCAATTGCCCAGGGTATAAACAATAAAAATAGACAAAATTAATCTGTTAGATATTATAAGTCTGAATAGTGACTATCTTGGGGGTGACTAAAAAGGACCAGGAGGGAGCTTCAGGTGTGCTAGTGATATTCTCTTTCCTGAACTGGGAGCTCAACCTATGAAAATATACCAATATGCACGGTTATGATTTGTATACTTTATGCAAATTACACTGCCATAAAAGTTAAGGTGTATAATAAACAGCAAATAAACAGCAAACAAAAAAATTTTCTACAAGCATGGCAATGGTTAGGTAATATACGAAGAACTAAGGCAAATCAATTTTTTAAAAGCTGACATCAAATAGGAAAATGAGCAAAAAATATCCTCAAATAAAAAAATTAAAATGGCCAATAAATGTACAAATGCACAAAATGTAAACTAAAACAATGGAATGCTATTTTTCTTATTAAATTAACAGAGATTAAAGGAAACTAATATGGTTGCTGCTGAGGATTTGGTGAAACTAATACTCTCTTATTCCTAATGGCAATGAGAATCTTTCTGCATTAAGTCTAAATGTTCATATCCTTTGACCTACAAGTTCCACTTCTAGAAATTATTCTGAGGAAAATCAGAGTTACAGTTAAAGATAGGCTATGTTAGTGTTGATTACAAACATGGGCATTAATTTTATCCAATAATGGGGAAATGGTTATATTAGGATCCATGTACATGATGGGATATTAATAATTTTTTTCAAAGAATGATGAATAGGGAAATATTGACGATAAATTCAAGTAAAAAATATACACAAAATTCTATGTGGCATATCTTTTGGGTTAAAAAACACTACACACACATAAACACATTTACACAGAAAAAAATGTCTGTAAGAACACATACTATACAGTTAATAGTAGCCATCTTTGGGTGGTGGGATAATGGATGATTTTCATTTTCTTAGCTTATTTTCTAATAAGTAAAATGTTCTTTGAGCATGTATTACTCTGTATGATATTCAGAGATGAAGAAGATAATGGGATTAAAAAAATACATCCACCCTGTTTACCTTACTCTAGAAATCTAAGCAACATACATTTCTCTCTCCTTCGACTCCATACTCCATCTGTAATTGTTACCTCAATTCTAAATTAGAAATGTCGATCCAAGCTGTTATTATTCCTTTTCTCATTTCCAAAATTCAGGACCTAATGAACTCACACTCAGACTCTTCATTTCGGTAAAATGGCCCCATTTTCCATTACTTTTACATTGTGGCCCCATCAAACCACTCTCTATAGCGACCCTCCACCACACCCATGCCCCTACTTTCACACCTCCCAACCTTGGCATACATACTCAATTCCCTTTCTGTATAATACATTTTCTCCATTCAGTCTTTCTAATCCGATTCATGGTTCAAGATTCACATAGTATATCCTTACTATAGGTAGCCTCTTGGAGACTGCAAAAACAGACAGCCGTTTCCAAATTAATCCTCCAGTGACAGTTTGTACATATTTCAACATCTAATATTCTCTGCTGCGAGTGCCTTGCTTTCCCGTCGCATGGCAGTGACCACTTCTTTTTAAAACATCTCTTAATATCTAGGTGAATGACCAGAAGTAAAGGGGATACACAGGGATGTGAGTTTTGACCTCCGTAAGATAGAAAAATGGCACCAAAAGCACTCGCCTGATTTTCTTCATTCAAGATGGCAGAAAATGTCTTAAAACAGTCCCACACAAAAGCACTCACTCACATCCAGAGCTTCGAGTCAGAAGAATTGGCTACACCTAGCGCAACAGCAAAGGACAAAAGAATCGAATCTAGACGCTGAAATGCTCTGGCTCTAACCATCCACAGTAGGTCCCACACAGACTTTAAACCGTGTTACAAAACTGGCACCTGCTGCCTTCATTCCAAGAGCCACGCCTAGACTGTGAACGGTGATCTGAAGCACTTCTGGATACTGACCCCCAAATCGAGAATGATAAAAGAGGAGGTTAAGTTGTGCGTAGGTAAAATGCACGATTCGGCCGCGCCCCAAACAGGCGCAGCCCCCCAGCGGTGCATCCATTCCTTGGGGGATGGACAGACAGGGCTCCCGCCCACGGGCCTGGCAACCAGGTCCGGGCTGGGAATTCTGGGCGGTCCTGAGGGAGAGGCCGGCCACGGCCAAGGCGCCTCCCGCTACACCTGTCAGGCTGCGGCCGATACTAGGCCCACAAATCACAGGGGTTCGGTGGTCCAGGCCAGCAGTAGCGCGTCACTCGATCCCTCGCCCCGGGATCGCCTTGCCTCCTCGCTTTCCCTCTCGTCCTTCTCAAACAAAGGCAATCCACACCCACCGCCATTTTCCACTTACCTCAAAAACCACCTCTTCGTCAAACTCCGGTGTCATCCTTCTCCGCCATGCCACCAGCCTCAGCACGATGGGAAATGAAGGCGGGAGAACAGGCGGCACAGATACTTCAGCTTCTGTCGGTCCCGCGGGTCTAGAAAACCACAATTCCCAGCATGCCTCGCTGCTTTCGCCTCTCTTTTCAGGCCCGCCTATTGGTGCAGAAGGTGAGCGTGGGAACGGGAGGGGCGGGAGCGGGATGAAGCTCGAGCCCTCCGACTGGTGGAGTCTGAGGCTTTTGTCTGCCTTTTACCGCCGCGACGAGCAGGGGGCGCCTAGAGCTCTGATTTTTTTAGAGCTGGAGAGGGACACGCGCCGGCGGAGCCGCGGTGAGCCCCGCTCGTGCCCGCGCCTAGCTGGCGGCCGGGAGTCGGAGGGGCGGCGCTCGTGCTCGCCCGCCCGCCGCTGGCGGCTCGCGCCTGGGAGCGCGGCTGGGTGGCTGGAGCTGGCCGCATCCTTTGTGCGGCGCTCAGGCTGCGCAGCGGGGCGGCGGGACGGAATGTGGGCTCTGCAGGGGCTTTTCTCTTCTGCCCTAACTCTGGAAACAATGGACTGAGAAGGGAACATGGATTGAGGGGCGCGAGGGGGAGGCGAACTGCACGGGAGAGTCATGACTTCTGCCGCGGGTAAGTGACGGCGCTCGCGCTGCCGCTGGAAAGTTTGCTGGGAGCGCTCCTGGGCTTTGGGCTCTGGAGCAACTTTCTTCGCCGGGTGGGCGAGCTGTGTGCTCCCTGCCTTTCCCGGGCACTGCGGCAAGTGCGGAGCCCAGGGGGGTTGTAGCCGGATTTCTCTCTTCCTGCGGAGAGCGTCTCTCTGGAAATCGTGGATCCCCCGGGACCCCCACCTTCAAAGGGAGGCCCGCTCTTTAACGCCTCGGTGAAAGGCGAAATATAAAGAGCGCGTTTGCTCAACTCTCCTACAATTTGAGCGACTTTGCCATTGCGAATGAAAACAGTGTAGCTTCCCATGTTAAGAATCGGTTATTCTAGGAAAGGTCAGTGTTCCCAGGATATTGAACTCGGGAACTATGCTGAGTCGCGCTGAACCAAGTATCGGCTGGAAAGCCTTTTCCTTATTAGATAAAGAGGGCTAGACATTGTTATTCCTGTCCTGGTGGTTTTACCCCTGTTACCTGAGAAGCGTTGGAGTAGGACTGCTGATGGCAGTTGTTTTGCTCATCTTCATCCAATCATTTATATATATATATATATATATATATTTTTTTTTTTTCTATTTCTATTTCTACCTGACTGGTGTAAACAAAGCCTGAATTTCTGTCTGCCTCTCGTAGTCCTTTCCCCGTCATCCAGATGACAAAGCCTGTATTTACCTTTGTGTGGATTTTGAGCAATTCTGGACATTGTTCTTCTGAACATTCTTAAGGAACAGTTTTTAAATTTCAAAATAATTACCAGTGTGTTACGTTCCCTTTACAAAAATGTAGTTTAACTTTTAAACCAGAACTTAATACTGTATTCAGTGAAATACTAAGAGCTTTTTAATTTTTTTTACATTTTTCATTAGAAATTGTAATAGTTTAACGCTTCCCGTCAAAGTTACTTTTAGAATCAGCACTGAAGTATCAGATTAAACTTTCATTGCTTTTTTTGGCATTTGTTTAAAATCCCTGCAACTTGAAACCGTCAAGCAGCGCTCCACATGTTATGATTTGTATTATTTCTAAAGCCTAGATACAATGTAGTGTTGCATTGGTGGGTGTAATCAGATTACAACTAAGGAAAGAAGAAGTTAGCCAATAGGAAAAGAAGGCATGGAGTGAAATATTCTGAAGTTGCAGAGATCTTTCTTTTTGATTGTTAAATGTATGTATATGAGATGTCATCATGCACTGTGTAGTTAACAGTTTTTATAAACTCTGTTCTGTGCAAAGGGAGACTTTCTACTTACAAAGCTAAATTATTTTCATTCCAAATTTCTGTGCCTTACCTTTGTTCAAGTAATTAATTGAAATTTAAAGTGGTTGTAAATTTAACCAGCCAATTTTAGTTCTTCCCCTTTTTTACACAAATGAATTTAAAATATTCATATCTTATATGTATCGGTTTTCAATTTCTGTCCTAACAATACAGAAGCATTTAATTTTTGACATTTCTACATGCAAACTTCATCTCTGGGTCCCGATCTGGAAGTTTATGATTCTTTCACTTGAATTACCCTAGAATAATAAGCTATTTTTATATTTTATCAGCTTTATAATTAAAGAAATCCACAAACATTTTTGTGGTGCTTAAGAGAGGAACACTTCCTGTGTCTAGCTGAGTGAGTTGGTTTTTAGCATGGCTTGCTGAGAAGCATTAACTACTTTTTTGCTCACCCATCTGTTAAGGTTTATTATAATTCTTTCTTGTGTCTAAATGAGGACTGTGAAAGAGAACTGGAGTTTTTCCCCACCCTATTCTTTTTTTTTTTTTTGAGATGGAGCCTCAAGCTGTCCCCCTGGGTAGAGTGCTGTGGCCTCACAGCTCACAGCAACCTCCAACTCCTGGGCTCAAGTGAGTCTCCTGTCTCCACCTCCCAAGTAGCTGGGACCACAGGCGCCCGCCACAACACCCAGCTATTTTTTGGTTGCAGCCGTCATTGTTGTTTGGCGGGCCTGGGCTGGATTCGAACCCGCCACCTTAGGTGTATGTGGCTGGCGCCTTAGCCACCTGAGCCACAGGCACCGAGCCTCCTACCCCATTCTTATAAAATTATGTATACATAGTCCTTACAAGCTGATTACAGTGCCTTTTGGGAACAGTAGTCAAACCATTAAAACTTTTAGGAAAGTTATTTGCAATTTGGGGAAGGGAAGTTTGTTTCGAATTTAATCTATGAGGTATTTGGGAGGGTTGGTTCAATTTAAGAAAAAAAAGAGTGTTGTAGAACATTTAAGTTATACCTATGTATCCAAAACCAAGAAAAACTTGTTTTGTTTTTCTGTGTCTGTGAAAGAATGGATCCTTAGAAGAGATTTTAGAATTATTCTAAGCAGTATGTGAAAAAGGAGAGAGAATTATAGGTGAATATTTTGTATGTCTTTGAACACGTGCAGGTCTCTGTCTCATTAAGTCTGTGCTTTGCTGTTTGGCTGGCCTAGTAGCCAGGAGAGTGTACCCTTGAACCACAACCATCTGTGTTTAACAGATGACGAGTATGTTTGTAATAGTTAGTAAAATGGTTACTAGTGCTTTACTTTCTTACCTTATATTTCCCCTGGGCCAAACAGCTGTGTAAATAAAAGATTTGCTGCTTTGCTCTAGGAAGCTTTGGGTCTGACTGTTGATACAGTATTAAGATCCAAAGGTGCTGGATTCATTGCCAAACATCATGTACTTATTGCAAGAGTTTGACATCGGAGCAGACTCTAACATAATGGCTTATTTTTTTGAGTTATGTTTCTTTTAAAATAGAGCCATTAAAAAAATAACAATCATGAAAGATTTTGGATATTGCTATGCCAGTGACTCAGTTGACCAGTTCCTATTAATAATTAAGGAATTATTCAATAATCCTATTGAAGTTGATTTCTGCTCACTTTTCAAAATATTATTCTACATTAAAATGGATATTGATTTTTTTTTTTTTAAAGAGATTTCCTGTTACTGAAACTTATTAAAAAGTATGTGTATAGGGCAGCTCTGATTATTCCCAGGCCCTGTGTTCAGTGCTGGGATACAGCCGTGATTGAAACTGGAGCTGATCTTATAGTGGTGAAGACAAGGGTACACTGAAGAAAAACCAGAGAAAGAGGCCACAGCGTATCAGGGTTCTCCCGAGGCAGTTATCTCAGAAGTTACAGTCTTAGATTCATCTGGACTTTAGAAATCTTCCAAGTAAAGAAAGTGAGGAAGCCAGGTCTGCACAAGGCACACAATTGAGTTAGCCAGGTCCCCAAGTTATTGGCTTCCTCCAATACATAGGTGAACTAACAATGGCACGCTGAAGTTCACAGTTCCTGAATTCCTTGAGTTAAGTGCTGAAAGCTTTACTTAATGCTGTGCTATATTTATTGGGAATCAATCTTAGCTCATATGTAGCTAATTGAATTTCAGTGACAGTAAGAGAGAATTTATGTCTCTTGGAAGCAGACTTATGTACAAAAGACATTTAAAGAGTGACATTGGTACTGGGGAGAGGAATGATTTAACAAAAATAAAAAATAAATTGGTTAAATGACAAGGCTCTAAGATCCAGATAGTGAAAGGTTAATTTAATGAGATGAGGTGGGGTTTTTTTTTTTAATTGTAATAAAATACATGTAATGTAAATTTAGCACCTTAACCTTTTTAAAGTGTATAGTTCAGACGTGTTAAGCATACCCATGTTACACAGCCAATCTCCAGAACGCTTTTCATTTTGCAAAACTGACATGTTAAGAAAATTCTTTCAAAAATCCCAGGGGTAGTGTGTTTTAAGAATGGGTGCAGAAATGAAATCAACATGACAGGCTGTCAGTTTTTATTGAGTTTGGATGGGAAGTAGGAAAGAGGCCTAAGGCATTCATGCTTTCTCTTAGGACTTAATAGATCAAGAGTTTAATAGTATGGGCTGTCAATGTATAAAAATATAAGAAAAAAATAGTTTAGTAGCCCCTTATAACATGTTTTATCATTAGGCTTTGAAAGATTTCACAGTTATTATCTGCCTTAAAACAAAAAAAACTTAACATAAACTAATAATATGGTTACTGAACAGCTAACTGAAATTATATAGCTTTAGAAATTTGTATTTATTCTGAAAAATAATTCATTATCTTCCTTATTTACGATAATATTATATGCCTGTATACCTATTAATAATAATATACCTAGAAATTGAGTGAGAAGACATCTATTAACATATAATCTTTGTTGTACACATAGTTTTAGGGGGTTGGGAAATTCTTCCTTGGTTGGTCAAAGGAAGTAGAGCATCCTACTTGGAGTTTTTTGTTTGTTTGTTTCTTGTTTTTGAGTTGTTTTTTGCTCAGTTCCATGTAATATCTTCCCAAGTGTCGTGACTAATTTCCTTGGTTGAAAAGAAATCATCACCAAATGAAATATCAAAGCCTCTGTGTCTGCAGACAGTGTCTAGTTTAGTTAAACAATGTCCAGCAGTCCTTTTCCAGGAGATACTTTTTAAAGTTTTCATCAGTAAATTAAGGTTTTATTAAGTATTTGATTCTGTCAAAGGAACAAATATAAGAAGTATTAAACACTTTGTAAACTCAAGCCACTCAGGCAAAATATGGTTGATAAGTAACAATGTAGGTAGGAGAATGTAAAGGAACATAAAAGGATACAGACATACAGGTTCTATATATATTTTCATTTCATAGGTCTTTTGTGTAAAGCTTTTTATTTTTTATTTTTTTTAAAAGAGAGAGAGAGACTCTCACTCTGCGGCCTTGGCTGGAGTATAGTGGCTAGATCATAGCTCGCTGCAGCCTTGAACTCCTGTGCTCAAATGGTCCTCCTGCCTCAGCCTCACAAGTAGCTAGGATGACAGACACTTGCCACCATGCTTGGCAAATTTTTCAGGTTTTTGTAGAGATGGACTCTGTTGCCCAGGCTGTTCTCAAATTTATGGCCTCAAGTGATCCTCCTGCCTTGGCCTCCCAAAGTGCTAAGATCACAAAGTCATGGGCCACCCTTCCCAGTCTTTTTGAGTAAAGTTTTTATTAGGTTCCTATAAGCAGGTATGTACAAATCTAGCATGGTATAATTGTTAACTGTGTACTTTTTGTATATATAGTCAAGAAGAATTGCTATACTAGCTATTGTGTCAACTTTTAAATGCACTAGAACAGTGGTTATTAATGAAGGATAAACAATATAATCACCTGTGGAACTTAAAAAGAAATACAGATGTCCTGAATCTGTCCCCAGATCAGAGGTAGAGCCTAGACATGTAGCTTGTTGAAAAAACATAATGAAAACTCCCAATTAATAACCCTTGAACAGAGAAATACCACCTTTATTATGACCCTCAAATAATAACAAAGAATTCATTTTCAGTTTTTAAGTTTAGAAAATTTCAGCTCTCTATCTTCCTTTGGGGTTCTGTCTATTGAAGCAGACAGATCATTGATAAAAGGCATTTACACAACTCTATTATATTATCATTAAGGTAGAAGAATATGACTGCTTATCCATATGAGAAGCTTAAAGACTTGTATCCTACATTTAACTTACACAAATTCAACTCTTCAAGCAAATGAACTGAAGAACTACTATACAGGTCCCAAGCAGAAGTCAGTTCTTTAGTGTAATTTATGCTAACCTGTTCAAAAGTTGATAGAAAAACTATATTGAACTTACTTTAATGTGTACAATATAGCCAAAGCTGTGTGTACTGGAATTGAAGGACCATTTAAGGAATCTTCGAGAGTAATACTGATTCCATACAATGTAACGTAATCTACCCAGTAAAATGCAAGTTCACATTGTTAAAAGTAAAAATGTCATTGAATGCTTATTTTAACATCAAATTATTCTTTTTGCCTTTCTAGAGATTAAGAAGCCACCAGTGGCCCCCAAGCCAAAGTTTATTGCGGCAAATAATAAGCCAGCTCCTCCTCCTGTGGCTCCTAAGCCTGACATTGTGATTTCTAGTGTTCCGCAGGCCACAAAGAAAGCCAAACCTGCAATAGCCCCCAAACCAAAAGTTCTGAAGAGTTCTGTTCAAGATGGCGGGCAGTCACCCTCAAGGAAAAGGACTTTGAACCTGGAAGAGCATAAACAAGAATTAGCGGAAAGCACTGCCAATTTTAATGGCAAAAATGTAGGAGAGCAGAATAACGATTATACCTTACCAATGTGTTCCTGTAGTTCCGAGTGTATCCATAAGCTTGCGAATAGAGAGAACGTGTGTGTAAAGCAGCTTGTTTTAGAGCCCCTGGGAATGAATGAAAATTTACAAAATTGTAAGCCTGATGAGTCTTTGACTGTAAAAACTATGAGTAAATATGATTCTCCTGGTGAAAAGGCCAAAAACCAGACTAATGTAGTTTTCAAGGCAAATGTCCTAGAAGAGAAGCTTAAAGATGTCTTAACACACCGAATGTCACCTTTTATTTCCTCCAAGAAGCACAGGTCCGCGGACAACCCAGAAATGAATGGTGGCTATAATTCACACAGACAATTCAGAATTGAATTTGAGGATTTGCTACCTTCCCCGCCCAGCTTTGAAAATGCTCCTGATCGTCACAATTGCCACTTCAAGCTTCCTAGTGATGAATTTCAAAATTTTGAAGCTTGTCAGGATGGCAGTGAAAAAAGCAATAGTGACTTTTATTCATCCAAACCAGAAGCTCTAGAAAACAGTAAAAAGGGTACTTTGATATCTTCAGATGAAGTTAGTAAAAAATCTGAAGTCAAAGATCTTGGTCCCTTAGAAATTCACCTAGTATCATATAGCCCCAAATTTCCAACTCCCAAGCCCAGAAAGACACGCGCTGCTCGTCTCTTACGCCAAAAGTATGTAGATGCTCCTAGTGAAAGTACCGAGGAACCGGAAAATTCCACCAGTAGCTCTTCTTGTCTTAGCGAAGATAGTTTGAAAAACAATGAAATCAGTGTTCTGCATCCGAGTAGCCAGGAACAGGTGGACAAAATGAATCCAGGAAATAAAAAGGAATTGAAGGTGGACCCCAACAGTGACAGACAGGCCTTGGTCAAGTCACAGAAAGCCAGGTGTCAGGAAACATCGTCCTTTGAAAAAACAACCCCTTCATTAGATGCAGACTCTGATTTGACTTCTGACAGCACTGCAATAGATGGTTCCAGTACATCACTTGGTGTGGACAAAGGGACCAGTTTTATAAGATGCAGTACTCTATCTATGAGCCTGCCTAAGCAGCTCAAATTAACTTGCAGTGAACATTTGCCTGCTGCCTGTAACCTGGGAGTTTCTACCCCTCAAATGCAAAAGGAGTCTATAATAAAAGAGGAAGTTTCCTCAAGAATTGTCCCCAAAAAACCTCAGAGACACAGCTTGCCTGCCACAGGAGTGCTTAAAAAGGCTGCATCTGAGGAGCTCGTGGAGAAAAGTTCTTATCCCTCAAGTGAAAAACATTCAGAGAAAGGTCTTGAAAGAAATCATCTTCAGCATCTGTGTGCCCAGAACCATGGGGTGTCGTCCTCTGATGTGCCTAAGCAGGCTTCTGAAAAGCCAGTGTGGAAATTACCTCATCCTATTTTACCCTTTTCAGGGAACCCAGAGTCCTTAAAGTCTGTCACCTCCAATAGTGAGCCTTCCACGGCCCTGACCAAGCCTCGAGCAAAGTCATTGTCTGCTGTGGATATGGAAAGGTGCACCAAACCTTGCAAAGATTCTACAAAGAAGAACTCTTTTAAAAAGTTGCTCAACATGAAACTGTCCATCTGTTTCATGAAGAGTGACTTTCAGAAATTTTGGTCCAGGAGTAGCCAACTTGGAGACACAACGGCAGGCAGCTTCTGCCATAGGGAACGCAAGAGAATCGAAGGTGATTGGCATGGCTTGTTGGGAGGAGAAGGGAGGAGAAGTAAACCTACGAAGGCATATTCTGCAGATAATAACTACAGCCTGGAATCCCAAAAGAAGGGGAGGAAGTCTCGGGGCCAGACCAGTGCCCCGAACGGTCTCAGAGCTGAGTCTTTGGATGACCAAATGCTTTCCAGGGAGTCATCACCTAAGACACCCTGCAAATCTGTTACAAGCCTCTGTGCCCCAGAGTATGAAAATATACGTCATTATGAGGAAATACCAGAGTATGAGAACTTGCCATTTATTATGGCTGTAGGGAAAAGTCCAGAACAGGAATGGCAGAATCCCAGCAGCATGGAGGACACTGATGCCAATGTGTATGAGGTAGAAGAGCCATATGAAGCTCCAGATGGCCAGCTGCCACTTGGACCCAGACATCAGCATTCCAGGTAACACCTAACCCTCAACAAGCCTGTGAGACAGGAATGCAGGGGGGAAATCACTTTGTGAAGGTATGGTTTAGAAAGCACATGTTGGCTCGGCGCCTGTGGCTCAAGCGGCTAAGGCGCCAGCCACATACACCTAAGGTGGCGGGTTTGAATCCCCAGCCCGGGCCCGCCAAACAACAATGATGGCTGCAACCAAAAAATGGCCAGGCGTTGTGGCGGGCGCCTGTAGTCCCAGCTACTTGGGAGGCTGAGGCAGGAGACTCGCTTGAGCCCAGGAGTTGGAAGTTGCTGTGAGCGTGATGCCATGGCACTCTACCCAGGGGGATAGCTTGAGGCTCCGTCAAAAAAAAAAACCAAAAAAAAGAAAGCACATGTTAAATTATTCCTAAGTGCAGCCTCTTTTTATCAGACAGTTTGAGTGGATATTTGCAGTGCAAGCTTGGAGCAGTTAACTTGTGTTAGCTGATTCAAAGAATTTCAACCAATCACACGGTGGGTCCTATAAGGAAGGCCTGGGACAGAGAACTCCTGGAACCCATAAGGACCAACTCAGAAATCACGGCAGGGAAGCTGGGGCAGGAAATTGGCACATGATGAGGCTTATTTGTAAGTGTAAGAAATCTGAAGTCATTGAATCCATGTGTTTACCTGTGGTGTCCTTGTCAGATTAAACTTCTAAATTTGCAGAAGTCACCATTGTGTAAGAATTGGTTATTTTATTTGTTGAAGGGTAGTTGCTGACCCCAAATGGATACAGGAAAAATGCAGGAAACATACCAGTAGTCTTCTTTCTCACTTGGGTATGTGTACTTCCTACCTGTGGAGTTCCTACTCCAACCCTCTTATTAAAATCTTGCCCCATCTTTGATGGACCACAGTTTCTCAAACTTTTTAAACAGGGGGCCAGTTCACTGTCCCTCAGACCATTGGAGGGCTGGACTGCGGGCTCTGGGACAAGTTGGCTGCTAAGCAGGACAGGCAGCGGCAGCAAAAACACCCGGCGGGCCGCATGTGGCCCATGGGCCGTAGTTTGAGAATGCCTGGTCCAGATCATCAGTCTTTGGCTTCACAAAGCTTTTTTTTTTTGAGACAAAGTCTCAACCTGTAGCCCTCGGTAGAGTGCTGTGGCATCACTGCTCACAGCAACCTCAAACTCTTGGGCTTTAGCAGTTCGCCTGCCTCAGCCTCCCAAGAAGCTGGGGCTACAGGCACCCACCACAATCCTTGCCTATTTTTTGGTTGCAGTCGTCATTGGTGTTTGGCAGGCCTGGGCTGGATTCGAACTCACCAGTCACAGTGTATATGGCTGGCACCTTAGCTGCTTGAGCTACAGGTGCGGAGCCCCCAAAGCTTCTGACACTTTCCTAGTAGGAAGTGTTTATTTCCTCTTCTGACCAGTCACTTATGCTGTGATAGCCTTTAATCTCAGTCCGTCCTGTGGTTTAATAATTTGTTGATTTGTCTGATGTTCTGTATTTAGTTTGAAACTCCGTGAAGAATTCCAGTCATATCTTTTTTTTTTTTTGTAGTTTTTGGCCGGGGCTAGGTTTGAACCCACTGCCTCCGGCATATGGGGCCGGCGCCTATTCCTTTGAGCCACAGGTGCCCCCCCAGTCATGTTGTTTTATCGTGCATGAGGCTAAGCAAGGGGCCCAGTAGTTGCTGGTTGGGTGTGTGAGAGAATGAATGAAAAGCAGGTAAAGGAAACCACTGCAGCTGTTTCCTTCCCTCTCCCATGCCCCAAAGGTAGCCTTCGCTTTGTATTTCAAGTGTTTGTTTTGTGTTTAACAAAAAAGCACACAGACCCTTTTTGAAGCCTTCAGATATTATTCTTAGGCTGTTAACTTCAGGCCTTTGAGTCATGAGCATCTTAAAATGTGACTTTGTAGAAATATGTTCCTGGGGGCGGCGCCTGTGGCTCAAAGGAGTAGGGCACGGGCCTGTATTACCGGAGGTGGCGGGTTCAAACCTACCCCCGGCAGAAAGAAAAAAAGGAAATACGTGTCTGGCACTAGTCAGGGATGGTTAAAGCATAATTGGGTGAATTGAATCAATACAATTGTCAAACAAGCCAGTGTGCCAAGTAAAGTTAATTTTTTTTTAAGTAAAGTTAATTTTTTGAAGTTCTTTTAACTGTCAGATACTCCTAGCATTTTTTTTTTTTTGAGACAGTTTTATTATGTCACCCTCGGTAGAGTGCTGTGCCATCACAGCTCATGGCAACCTCAAACTTCTGGGCTTAAGCAGTGTTCTTGCCTCAGCCTCCAAGTAGCTGGGACTACAGGCGCCCACCACAATGCCCAGCTATTTTTTGGTTGTAGTTGTCATTGTTGTTTGGCAGGCCCAGGCTGGGTTCAAACCTGCCAGTTCTAGTATGTGGCTGGCGCCCTAGCCACTGAGCTACAGGCACGGAGCCCCTAGCATTTTCCTTTACTTATAATCCTCTCTGCCCTTCTTCCTTTTACCTAAAAAAGGCTACTTTTTCTCTCTTGCCTAGTTTTTTTTTGAGACAGAGTCTCACTACGTCCCCCTCAGTAGAGTGCTGGTGTCACAGCTCACAGCAACCTCAAACTCTTGGGCTTTAGCGATTTGCTTGTCTCAGCCTCCCGAGTAGCTGGGACTACAGGTGCCTGCCACAATGCCCGGCTATTTTTTTGTTGTAGTTGTCATTGTTGTTTAGCTCTCCTGGGCCAGGTTCGAACTCGCCACTCTCAGTGCATGTGGCTGGCGCCAAGCCTCTTGACTAGTTTTTCTTATAGCTGACTCTATTCTGTTTACAGTTGTCTGCTCTCTAAACATTAAAACCTGGGCAAAAGCCCTTTCCTTGGCCTAAATATTTCGACAGAGAATTGGAATGAAATATCCAGCTGTTTTTTTTGTGTGTGTGTATTTCCATGCATGCTTTTCTTACCAGGGAATAATTTTATTGGTACTGCCCTCTTTTTAGCATGCTTTTGTATATTATTTTGTGTGTGTGTGTATGCGTGTGTGATGAACTTTGTTGGCTTCTTTGCAATATATTTACTATTATCCTTGTCTATTATAATATTTTCTTCTTGAAATTGGGATAAGTTTCCTGTTGGCTGTCAGGTTTCCTGTTGGCAATCTCAAGGGATTGCTTCCATCTCTGACACTGTCTCTTCACTTCTGGAACTTGTTCTTTATTGGTATGCTTCTGATCCAGTTAGGGTTCTGCCGCTCAGCTGGGAGGAGACTGGTTAGAGGGGTTAGTGTCCATAGCCAGCCAGTACAGCCGTATGGCACAATTCATAAGGATGGGTCTTTCTGGAAGCAACAGGAAACTGAGGACAGTTTTGGACAGGTTGCAGGCTGTGAAGGGCAAGGGAGCTCTGCTTTTGAATTTCACTTTCCATGGAGATTTTTGTTTAGGCCTGGAACTGGGCGCTCTGAACAGGCTTGAGACTCCTAAAATGTGCCAGCTGAATCAAAAGCCCTCAGTCATTGGGTCAGATTCACACAGTATTTATTGCCTGGGAGGTTGTTCCTTTCGTAAACACTGAGATTTCTCATTTGTTCAGATTAAAAGAAAAACATTGAGAGAAAGGAAAATCTCAGCCTTCCTGAGCAAGACACCTAGACCCCGTGGAGTGAGATAAATGGGTGGGTGGGCATACATTTCAGGTGAGCCGGAGGACTCAGGTGGAAATCCTATTTGGTAGTCTGGCTGTTAAAACTATAGACCTGTGCCTTGGAATAGTTAAGTTAAAATCTAATACCCTGCCTGGGGTTCTAAAGTGATAAGAAAATAATGCAAATGAATTATTTGCATTACTCCTACAGAAAAATAAGGTTTTTCTGCTGGAGTCACCAAAATCTTTAAAGGATTCTCAGCCCTCGGGGACAAAGACTTGTTAGTTTTACAGAGTCTACACGTCAACTAATTCTGGTTTGGTAAACAGACTTTTGGCAAGCTTGGGTGGCTCATATGATCACCTTTTATAGAATATAGATGTTTCATAAACCCAACAGTTTAACATTTATAAATTTATAACAACATGTTTATAATTTATCAGGAAACAATTGTAAGCATCCCCAATTCCTAATAGGGTCGTATTCTAAAAACTCATCATAATTTGGAGCTCAGAGTGTATGTCCCAAAGAAACAGTTTTGGCATAGCAGTCCCCAATTCCTAATAGGGTTGTATTCTAAAAACTCATGATAATTTGAAGCTCAGCGTGTATGTCTCTTTTTTTTTTTTTTTTTAATTGAGACAGAGCCTTAAGCAGTTGCCCTGGGTAGAGTACTGTGGCATCATAGCTCACAGCAACCTCCAACTCCTGGGCTCAAGTGATTCTCTTGCTTCAGCCTCCCAAGTAGCTAGGACTATAGGCGCCTGCCACAACACCCAGCTGTTTTTTGGTTGCAGCTGTCATTATTGTTTGGCAGGCCCCGGCTGGATTCGAACCCGCCAGCTCAGGTGTATGTGGCTGGCATCTTAGCCACTTGAGCCGTAGGCGCAGAGCCCAGTGTGTATGTCTCAAAGAAACAGTTTTGGCACAGTGGTAGAGGCCCTATTTTAGCTCCCAAATGATATTAAGCATTAATTACTGTCTGGGCCCCTCCACCCACTGCAAGGCAGGTGATGCTCTACCCTTTCCAGTGCTCTGTGATGCCAGCTGGGGCTGAAGCTGGACAGTGGCGAGGGTGGGGTTGAGCACCTGGGATCTCAGAGGAGCAAATCCACAGGATCTGAGGCCCCAGGGTTTGTAGAAAGGCAGAGGGTGAGGTGACTAAGGAAGAATGAGGAAATAGGAGCTGGGCAAGCTGTGAAGAAGACTGTAAGGCCCTGGGAGTGATAAGGGAAAGGGAAGGGCCGGGTGGGGTGGGGTGGCTGGCAATGAATTTCTTTACCTCCTATTCTCGGTATTCCCGTGCTTTCTTTCCCACTGTCCCTCCTTCTCCTTAGCTTACCGCCTGATTGAGCTAACTGGGTTTCTGACCCCAGGCAAGAGTGAGGTGGAGAACCAGGAGGAGGGGA